AAGCCAGAGGCTGCCAAGTGAAAGCAAACAGCAACACTGCTAAAGCCATGAGAGAAAAATCATCCACCAGACCCTTTTTCTCAACCTAAGAGTATCCTTAAAAACAAAATCCAAGCCCAGTATCATTTCACCAGCTGGTTTTAAGAGCAGCACTTTAAAAGGATATAAGAAACAAGCTCATTAAGCTGAAAGACATTTTCCATTCCCAAATTATTACTAAAAATAACTGTGCTCTTGAACCCTGCCCCTTCACTAGGGTATGGCCCCTTGCCTGCTTTTACATTCACTTGGCCAGAGGGTTGGAGACCTGAATTCCTGCTCTTTCTCCCCAGACTCTTCCTGCTCCTGTTGTTCCTGAGAGATGCTCTGGTTGCTGGGATGGCTCCAGCTCTGGGGTGCAGGGGGGATGCACAGCCAGGGCAGGGCTGTGTTAGTGCAGGAGCTGAGCTCCAAATCCCTGCAGGTTAAAATTGAGGAGAAACTCCTGTCCCTCCAGGCTAAGTGATGTATCTGAGCAGCTCCCCAGAGACAGGCAGAGGTCTCTGAGTTATTCTGCAAGCCAAACCTCCCAGGTTAAACCACTCAGCTCGATGGCAGTGCAAGCAAGAGGGGGGGAAAGGAAGCATCATCTCAAGCTCTTAAGCTGAAGTCTTGGAGCCAGAGATCAGGCATGCAAGGGGACAGCAGACATCCTGGATGCTCAGAGCATGACTGGATGGAGGCAGCTGTCAGGTACCCGTGCCTGGATTTAGGAAGGATCTCGGGAACCAGCCCAAGCAGCAGCCTGGTAGGTCCTGGGGAGGCAGCTCTGCTCACAAGGAGAGGAGAGGGAGAGGAGGGAGCAGGGCCAGGCTGCTGGTTCCCAGGGGCTGCTCGGGGCGGGAGCATGGGAAAGGGCTCCTGGCTGGAATTTCCTGCTCGCCCTGCTCACTGACAGCACTGCCAGCAGTGCTGGGGCCCAGAGATAACGCCGTGGAGCTCGGGGTCTCACTGACCCCCTTCCCCTCCGAGCTTAACCCCAGCTCAGGGCACTGCAGGGAAGATGCCCTAAACCCAAGCCCCTCGGGGGTCACTCCCAGCCCTCCACGGGACCTCTGCCTCCTCCACTCGATGGCTGGTCCTGGTTTTTCCCTTTAAAACATAGCTGCTGAGACACAGACACCTTAGACCCTAATGAGTAACAGATCAGGCAGAGACAGTTACACTCCTGGATGCAAACAGCCACCCCCTCACTAACAATCCCTGCACCAGGCAAGATCCCTGATGGTAATCTTAATTTTGTTGACTATCTGGTATTTAGTGGGAGACAGAGCACAAAAACCAAACCTCACACAGCTGGCAGCAACTCACAGGGGAAAAATGTTCCCAGTTGCTTATTTATTATAGCTGTGATACCTCAGAGGCTCATTCACCATAAATCCAGCATCAGGAGCTACCTCAGATGTTTGGAATAGGGAGCAGCCAGGAGAGATGGAGGCACCAGAAGGAACCTTCCACCTCTGCAGGTTTTCACCCCTTCAAGCCAATCCCTGCAGCAACCCCTCACCCTCCCAGCAGCACCCTGCAGCCTCCCCTGCCCCTCACCTCCATCTGCCCCAGCCCAGAGCACACGGTCAAGGTCCATCCCTCTGGGTCTGCTCCTGGCACGTTCACCTGGAGACCTCACAGGCGTTGGGATCAAACCCTTCCAGAGCTCCCTCAGCTGCCCCAGAGGTCCCAGTGCTTTTACTCCTTTAAGCCAGCTTCTTAGCTATGTAGGATGCCCTTTCCTTTTACCCTCTTGCCACAGGTTTTTGGTATGAACGTGGCCCTCAGCCCTCTCCTTCCCAGCATCCCTCTGCAGGTCACAGCACTACAGGATGCCATTAACAGTTATTCTCTCACCAGAGCTACAGCACTCAGTGTAGAGGGTTTTCCTGTACTTCCACAACACACAAATACCTGTGGGCTACAGGAGAGAGACTTCCCCACCAAGCTGCTGTGCCTTTGTGTAGCTATAAAGTCTCCAGAGCAAGGTATTTTTTAGGGACACGAAGCCCGTTACCCTGGCTCTGTTACTTAAAAGATGCAACAGTTTACACCAGAGGATAAAAAGCTATGTTGTATTTAGGTAAAAGGGATCAGCAGCACAGGGTTTAGCCCAAAACCACTCCCCAAAGCAGTGGGGCTGGCATAAGGACAAGGCTCCTTGCTGGCAAAGTGGATGGGCTGCAGCAGCAAGCTGGGAGGGATGCAATGGAAGGGAGAACAACTTTTTTTTTGACAAATTAGATGCATATCTCTTCTGCTGACCAATTGCCCAATACAGAAAGATATTAACAGGCAGAGCAGCAG